TGGGATCCCAGCTGAGTCTCCGCCCCTTCCCCCCGCCCTTGCCCCGTCGCCAGAGCTCCCTGTTCCTGGGATCTGTGGTCCAGGACCATCCGTGGGCCAGTGTAGACAGCTCAGATTTGTTTTGCACAAAAAAGCCCCAATCGCCATTTTCGCGATCGGGGCTTTTTTGCGCAAAAGCGCGTCTAGATTGGCCACGGATGCTTTTGTGCAAAAGTGCTTTTACGGAGACGCGTCCGTGCCAATCTAGACGCTCTGTTCCGCAAATGCTTTTAATGGAAAACTTTTCCGTTAAAAGCATTTGCGGAAAATCGTGCCAGTCTAGACATCGCCACAGTGTTCAGCCCCCTGGGTCCCTTCCGGCCATGCAGTGTGCTTTTCTAGGACTGAGTAAACAGCCTCCCCAGCCAGAACAAAAAGCGGAGGGATGCAGTAAGATGAGGGCCTGAAACATCAGCCCAGGTATCACAGGCTGGATGTGAGGCCTGGCCAGCAATGGTCAAGCCTTTGCTAATATAAAGCAGAGTGAAACTGTGAGCGAGAGGCAGGCCCTGCTCGCAGACATTGGCAAGAACAGGACTAATATCACAGAAACAAACACGCCTGCCTAAGAGGCTCCAGGCACAGGCCATGAGCACATTCCAAAGGGGTCATGAGAGACCATTTTGCGGAGGAACACCTTGGTACACACACCCCCTACAGAGTACAGGAACAAACTGTCCCAGGAGCAGGACGGGCTAAATTGGCAGCATGCTAGACAGTGATCAACCCCTGCGTACAACATAATGGGGGATCTAGGTAACATCAAAGGGTGGCAACGTGGGAAGTCAGGAGTAATGTGTAACTTGTTTGTACCTGTGTGTAAAAGTGAGCCCCAAAGGGCTGGCCTGGGGTGGGCAAGGTTTCATCCCTAGTACTGACGGAGTTGGTCGATTGTAATGGGCATATGTGTGTTAGCCTAAGTGTCAGCCCTTTGGTCTGGGGAAGCTAGGACGTCCCCCGTCTACAATAGACCCAGCCAATGCCTTTGAGCCTTTCTGATTTGGTGGCGCTCTCAGAGCCTGCTGTGTTGACTATTTGTGCATGGGCAACACAGCCAACCGGAGCAAATGCAGGGACACATGCAGCAAAATGGTGACCATCACTGGAGAAGCAGGAGACCTGTGAGGACACCACACTAGTGACTCCTGAGTGCGACACCCACATGCTCCTTCTCTTGGTATTGAAAGTAATTTCATCTGTGCGTTTTCTGCCCCTTTTACGTAAGCAAGGAGCTGATCCTGAGCAGTACCGAGTCCCTGCAGCTCCCAAGGGACTTCTCTGGCTCAGCTGCCTGCTCTTATGGCAGCTCACTGTGCATCAAGGCTGCGTCTAGACTGGCAAGTTTTTCTGCAAAAGCAATTGCTTTTGCGGAAAAACTTGCCAGCTGATAACACTGGCTGCTTGAATTTCTGCAAGAACACTGACTTCCTACTGTCTGAAATCAGTACTTCTTGCGGAAATGCTATGCTGCTCCCGTTCGGGCAAAAGTCCTTTTGCGCAAAAGGGCCAGTGTAGACAGCTCAAGATTTGTTTTCCACAAAAAAGCCCCGATCGCGAAAATGGCGATCGGGGCTTTTTGTGGAAAAGCACGTCTAGATTGGCCATGGATGCTTTTCTGCAAAAAGTGCTTTTGCGGCAAAGGATCCGTGCCAATCTAGACGCTCTTTTCCGCAAATGCTTTTAATGGAAAAGTTTTCCGTTAAAAGCATTTGCGGAAAATCATGCCAGTCTAGACGTAGCCCAAGTGTTTTGCCAACGGAAAGGCACGTTGTAACTGCTAAAAAAACATTAGAGAATCGTGTAATGAACCGGTGTCAGAGCATCTTTCCTCTGCTGCTCCCTTCTGGGGGAGAGGAACGCCCTTGTCCGCTCTGGTCCCCCACAAGCCATTTGGAGGGTTCCTTTATGTTCTCAAAATCCAAAGTGAGGGAGTTTTGTGCCATCTTGTCTCCGGCACTATGGATCTTGAATAATGGCTGACTTCAGTTCTCCTTAAGGCTTGTCTTCATGGGAGGCGGCATTTTTTGAATGTAAATATTTGATTCTTCTAGTCTATTGGTACACAAAAAGCCTTAGAATGTAGTGTGAATTTTAGATTATTTTTACTTTGTTGTGGGGATCCAGGATTTCTCTACCCTTAACATGTCAGAATGGCAATGGACTAACACCCATGTGCCTCCCAAAGATGGGAAGGGGTCTGGAGCTGAACTTCTCCAAGGAGTGGGTGTGTCGGGATCTAGGATTGCGATTGAATGTTAGAGAAGCTTTGCTCTGGATGGATCTCTAGTTTGTTTAAACTATTAAAATGTTTCATACATCATGGTGTTGTTTTGGAGGTTTTTAAAGCCCAGCCTGACAAAGCTTTGCCTGGGAAGATTTAGTTGGGGCTGGTCCTGCTTTGAGCAGCAGTTGGGACTCTATTACTTACCTCCTGAGGTTCCTTCCTACCCTAATCTCCAATGAGTCCATATAAAATAGACTAGGGATGCAAAACCCTGTTTAACCGGTTAAATATACAGGCAGTTCCCGGGTTACATGGATCCGACTTACATCGGATCCCTACTTACAAACGGGGTGAGGCAACCCCGCACTAGCTGCTTCCCCCCAGCAGACCAGGGAGACGCGAAGCTAGCGCCCCCCCCCCCGCAGACCAGGGAGACACGGAGCGGCTTTTCTCAGCAGACACCTCAGCTTGAGAATAAAGGACTGAGGGAAGTGAGGTGTGGGAGAATAAAACTGAGCTCTGGAGAAATGTTTGGCTAGAGTTTCCCCTACAATATGTACCAGTTCCGACTTACATACAAATTCAACTTAAGAACAAACCTACAGTCCCTATCTTGTACGTAACCCGGGGACTGCCTGTATTGGTAAACAGGTTAACTGGTTAAAGGGGGGGCAAGCAGGGGGCTGGAGTGGCCCCTCCTGCCACAGGCAGAGGCATGCCGGAGCAGCCCTTGCCGGAGGGACGCCCAGGCCCACCGTGGACCGGGCCTACTCCAGCCCTGGAGCAGCTCCTGTCCATGGTGGGCCCTGGCATTGGCAGTTCAGGGTGAAGGGCAAGACCTACCACCGATGGTCGGGAAGGGTTTATGGGTCACCGAAGACCACTCATGGAAATGGGTTTGTAACCGCGTGGGCTATGTTTCACTTTGGCAAGACTCAGGGCAGGCGCTGAGGGAAGAGAATGCCTAGAGGTCAATAGCCAAAATGGACTATGAAAGACGCCCAGGCAGTCTGGTCCTCTTGGCTTTGAGATGATGGCCAAGCCTCTACTGACAGGCTGAGATGGATCTTGGTTTAGTTTCACAATTTTTTCTTGCTGGTAGCAGAGTTTGTTTTGCTGAAATCCTCCTTGTAGGAGTTAATTTGCGAGGCATGGAGGAGCTATTAGAGGAACACAAAGAACAAGCTCCGACAGATGTGAGCAGTGTCTCCCAGGCGCCTAGCTTCCATCCCTAGACCTGCTGCAGCGCCACATGCAGGTGGGGGCCTCCTCTGATGGGGACTGTATCTTCCCACTAGCAGCAGTTCAGCTGCTTGGCCCAGGGCAGCACACAGGATTGGTTGCATTGCACTGAAGGGCCCGGCAGTCCCTGAGGGCGGAGCAAACGTGTACAGTTTTAACTTCAGCCGGTTGCCACTGGAAATAGGCCCATCAAAATCAGGATCCAGATTTCCCCTCATCTGGGCATATTCGGGCTCAATATAAAGGTGGTGGAATGGCCAGATGCAGGGCCGTCCTTAAGATTTATGGGGCCTTACTTAGTACTATTAAACTGTGCCCGATGGCAGCTGAGGGGGGTGAAAATGAGTTTTTAGCGCTTTGATTTTATACGCATCAGCAACACACGTGTGAAATATTTGAAAGCAAATTTTTAACTGCGGTCCTGTCGACTAACTGGCTACGTCTAGACTGGCATGATTTTCCGCAAGTTTTCCATTAACAGCATTTGCGGAAAAGAGCGTCAAGATTGACACAGACGCTTTGCCGCAAAAGCACTTTTTGCGGAAAAGCGTCCGTGCCAATCTAGATGCGCTTTTGCGCAAAAAAGCCCCGATCGCCATTTTCGCAATTGGGGCTTTTTTGTGCAAAACAAATCTGAGCTGTCTACACTGGCCCTTTTGTGCAAAAGCTTTTGCGCAAAAGGACTTTTGCCTGAACGGGAGCAGCATAGTATTTCTGCAAGAAGCACTGATTTCTTACATGAGATCGTCAGTGTTCTTGCGGAAATTCAAGCGGCCAGTGTAGACAGCTGGCAAGTTTTTCTGCAAAAGTAGCTGCTTTTGTTGAAAAACTTGCCAGTCTAGACACAGCCACACAGTAAATTGAGAAACTGACAGTCTGTGCTTGGGGATGGCAGACGCACGTGACACTTGAATGGCTCCTCCACAGGTTCAGTGGCTGCTACTAGCGCTGGCAAGCGTTGTCACTTTTAAGTTCACTAGATCCTCTCTGGAGGAAGCAGAGCCACAGAACAGGGACAGGAAAAGGTGGGTGGGTAGACAGTAAGACCCAGTGGTACCCCAAATTTTTGGGTGTCCTATGCAACTGTGTAACCTGCCTGTGAGTAAGGGCGGCCCTGCTCAAATGAGCAAGCAGGTTTCAAACATCCTCACAATGTTGCGGGTGTTAGGAGCTGGACTTTGGTGTGGAATGTTCCCAGGTCATCATGTTCGTAGACTCATAGAACTGGAACTGGAAGGGATCATCAAGTCTAGTCCCCTGCCCTCACGGCCGGACCCAGCACCGATTCTAGCTCATCCCTGACTGGTGTCTGTCCAACCTGCTCTTAAACATCTCCAGCGGTGGAGATTCCACAACCTCCCTTGGCAATTTATTCCAGTGTGTACCCATCGTGACAGGAAGTTTTTCCTAATGTCCAACCTAAACCTCCCTCCTGCAAGTTAAGCCCATTGCTTATTTTGTTCATTTCAACACCGAGGGTCTCCTTGTCCTTTGAGAGACTGATGCTTCTCCAGTCCTGCAGGCAGCCTCTGTGCACGCAGGCTTGTCTGCTGCCAAAGAGCTCTGTGGCGCCAGCCTCCTTCCTCTTCTCGAAGCAGATGTTACTGGTGTGTCATTGTTTATGTTGCAGGCCTTTCCTTCCTGCTGCTCTTATGTGTGCATTCCAGCCTTGGCCCAAGGCACTGCATGCTGACCCCGTTTTTTTTAGCCCCGAAGGACGGAAGTGTAAGAAAAATTCAGTGATAAGTTACATTACTGAGGCTGACTTGCCTTGGTAACACCACTTGCCGTTGGTATCCTCTCACGGATGGTGTCATGTTCAGCCTCTCGCTGAACTCAGCCATGATGCGTCTCATAATAGCCCCTAGCTCTGGACCCGGGGTGGAAGGGACTTGTTGAGCTCAAAGCTAGGATGTTTTCCTTGACTTCAGAGCCCACCTGCTTGGTTTATCTCTGCCTGCATTTGCCCTGCAGGGTGCAGAGCAAGGTCCAGCCATTAGTGCAGGTAACGAGCAGATTGTGCTTCAAGATTAAGAACATACGAAGAACGGTCCTTCATTGACACAGTGGCCGTATCAGGCTGGTTGGGGTTCGCATTAGGGTAAGTGTTGCTTTATAACAATGGCTGGAGCCTTCTCCCATGGGCATAGCTTGGCAGTTCCCTGTAGTGGTTGCTGGTTGTACGTCAAACATTACCATATTACTAGGCTAACGAGCCGCCCTTTGCATTATGGCCAACTGCTTCTGTGTCTGGTCCCAGGGCTTTAGCACCACCCACTTCTCCATTTGCTGTGTCTTGCTGCGGTCACGCACCAGCAGCACACCAGCTCTAGTGCACAGTGGGCACTGGACGGCAGGTGAAGGGAGGGGAGGCAGTAGAAGTTGCTGGCTGCAGGTGCAAGAGAGGGGAATGGTCACAAGCTAGTACAATGGTGGTTGCAGTCTGGCAAACTCACCTTGATACCTGAACAAGTTGGGAAGCTCTGTCCACCGTGTCTTAAGCAGAAACAAGGCGTAGTCCTGTAGCACCTTAGAGACTAACACAAATGTACATGTAGTATTATGAGCTTCTGTGGGCAAAATCCACTTCCTCAGAGCAGCTACATGACGGGTCTTTTACCGTCAGAACACCATTGCAGCATCTAGTGTCTGCGGTGGTGACCATGCTACAAACATGTAATACTCAGCGTGCTCAGCAAATGTGAAAACTGGCAAGCCATACCATCTGGCAAAGGTAGCAGTTCAAAGAACAAACTCGATTGTCAAATAGCCCCTGCCAGGCCCGAGCAGCAGAACTGATAAGGGAACCTGGACAGGCTGGAATCAAAGCCCTGGTAAGGCCCATAGAACTTATGTGGGTATCACTCAGGTGCGTGTGACCCATACACTTTCAGGGTGTTGTTTGGGAGATCCTGTGTTTTGTGTGGTGGGTACAAAATAAAAAGCTTGTGACATTCAGCATTGGGCTTTTTTTTTTTTTTTTTTGCCATTGTTTTGATCTATCCTGTTTGCAATGTAGTGGAAGGCATGTTAGTCCCAGGATCTGATGAAGTGGGTTTTACCCACAGAAGCTCTTGATCCTCTACATTTGGTAGGCTCTAAGATGCCCCCAGGACTACTCATTTAAAAAGAGGGTGAGATAGTATCTTCTATTGGACCAGCAGCCTCTATTGGTGAAAGGGACACGCTTTCAAGCTCTCCAGAGCTTTTCACTTCTGGGAAAGACAGGCTACCTTTCCCAGACCTCAAGACCAGCTCTGTGGCCACAGATGTTTGTCTCACCTACAGACAGTGGTCCAAGGAACGATAATACGTCCCCTACTTTGTAGCTCAGGCTACCATGTGCAGTGTGCGACAAACAGCACGGGCTGTGTTTCAGCTAGCGGAGGACGCACGCGCTGCGGGTTTACGCCGGCCAGGCGGTTCGCGCTGTGTGATTGTTTCCAGACTGCAAGAGGCTGCACAAACCCCTCGGGATTGCTAATCGTAAATACGCAGGGACGGGCCCGGCCTGGTGTTCTAGGGCCGCGTCTGACAAACTTTTAAAATGTCAAATAGTTTTAAAGAAAAAAGTGCGGCCGGACCGGCCTGGCTTTGGGCTTGTTTGGCGGGGGGAGGGGGGGGGTTGG